TGATGACTTAGTATCATGTTTTACTAAACTTTCTTAGTCCGAGACGTTTATCATTTATCAATAAATAATTATTTTATTTTGGGAAACTTATACCGGACTATATTATAAATATTTACATCATTACAAATAATATATTGTGTCAAAATAGTCAAATATAATATATAAATTTAGTATAATTTATAAATACTCAAAATAGGATTAAAGAACCAAACGAAATCAATTATATCTAGTCTTAGTTACTAAAATCACTTAATTTAATCCTTTAACGGTTTGAGAATACGCCGTGACTCGTTTTTCGCTTATATAATTAATAATCGTTCCATTCGCTTCATACGGGACGTCGCTCATGTACATAAATGAGTCGTGATTCTTGTTCGATATATATTGATTACAATTGTGCTAATCACTTGTACTTATCTATCTAGAATTGAATATCGCGAAGCGCTTCGATATTGCCGAGCCTGTCTCGATTGTGAGCCTCCTCCGTCGGACGTTTCTTATTTTTCCAATTGTCCAGTCATATGGATTGATTCACAGTCTTTATTCAAACTCTCCTTATATTTTGCGGTCGACTCGGGATATAGCTGGCCGAGGACCTTTACATTGGTTGCAACTTAGATTCGTGTATTAAGGAGCGAGGCTCAGGCCCGACTAGTATACCTCGCCGAACCTCGGTTTTTCCTACCTTCCTTCTTATATCCTCACTTATCCTCTTTTCTCCCCTTATAGCCTACTTTACTCTTACCTATCTATATCCTTACAATATATATATTTAAATATTTAAGCGTTGATGAATATTTAATTACGTCTAATTTAACTGTGACGGTACATTTAACAATAATACAATCATAATCAGCCATATGCAAATTGATATTATTAAATGTTTAAAGCAAACCTTCACCTCGACTCGTCTTTCGGGAGCTCGTACATTCGCCTTGTACGATTCGCAAGTTTCACTGACTCTAGCTATCGAGGTCCATAAAATCTCGAATGTATTTTGCAACGGCAGCAGGAAGAAATTCTTGTCCTCTCAGAGTTCTTGTCATTACGGAAAAGTCCTTGGAAAGTACTTCTGAGTCTTGAAAAATTTTACGAGGTCCTCCTTGTCATTTTCTAACGACTAAACTGTTTTGCTACGACATCAGTTTAGCAGTTTCATAACAGTTTTAAATCTCTTAACTAATTAGTATTCCCAATTAGTGTCATCTATTAATACTAAGAAATTTAATAAAAAGTCATTTGAAAATCCAAAGAGATGATATAATAACCTAATTTTCTCTATAATGAATATACGACAAAGATATAATTAATAATGATTATATATATATATATATATATATATATAAAATCATTACTATCATTATAAATTTATGGTGTATAAAATAAAGATAGATGGTGCACATTTACACCTTTCTTCCCTCCCCTCCCCCCTCATCTCTTTCTTTCTATCTTTCTTTCTTAATTTCTTTCACCAAGCAATTTAGCATTTGCCGAGGTATCGCGTGTAATGATTCGTCGCAACGGATGACAAGGCAATGTTTAATCACGATATCCGGGACGTCCAACCAGCATAGCTAATGAGGCAAAATGTCTTCAATTAAGTGTATCACAAGGTATCGACATATCGCGTACAAGATAACGAGGCACAGCCGTCATATGACGCGATCGATATTGCGCTGCCAGAGGTCCCTTTGAATGATATATATTGTACATACAAACGCGTGCACGTATATAACCAATAGGAATGAGGTGCGTATTAGCAAACATCAAGCGGGCTAATTTAAAATTAACTAATCACTCGCAGATAAATGCAGTTAGAGCATCACGTCGAAATGTAAATTAGCATTAGGTTGCTAATTGCCTATATGTGGATTAGACGATCATTATGCGGCTAATTATGCCGCAATAAACTAAACGTAATAATATATGGCTGAATGTAACAATATTGCTACATTGTGCGTGTGCGAAGCAGTGTAAATACTTTGCTCATTAAATTTTTGTATACTTTAATAGATAGAACGAGCATACAAGCATATAAGCTCCCAGAGAAAGAGAATAAGAACAGAGAGTTTTATATATTTCCATGGCGTATAAAATAAGTGTTCTTTCGCGTTTAATATTAAGTATATATTCGGTTAATATTCCTTCGAAATAGTAATAACAATTGTTACCGCATTCAACGTAAATTGCAATCATTATGAAGTAATTAGCGGCGCTTCCACGATATATTAATACGAAATCACGATTTTCGAGTGATAGGTTTATTAGTACTAACGGCACGCTGTGAGGCTCATATTATATATATATATATATATATATAAATTGACACCGATTTAATTATCAGACCCCCTATTGCTATTGACATATGCGCGCACATTCGGCTTTGATCGAAATTCTCTAACAAAGCAGCTGCTTTGCTGGTTACATCTTAGAGCGTAAGATAGCAAATATAGCGTCTCCCCTCCCCAAAACAGATATATGGATGCACGTGTGTATACGCATACGTCAATAATCAATTAAATTATCGGCAAACGCGTCTGGGTAGACGCCATCCTAATTTGCGCCTCCAATGTCCAAATCGCTATAGCGGCGTATCACCAGTCACAAGGCCGGCCGTTTGCTAATTATTTGCGGCGGGCAGAAAACGCGATCTAAACGGGCGATATCGCACTCCGTGCGAGGGTCGTTAATGGTATTTCGGTAACATCAGGTCGCAAGTGTGCACTAATTAACGCCGTGTCGATAGCAATGCTACATGTCCCGGTACGCCAAGAAACACATAGGCGGTGTACGGCTATAACCGTGGCGTCACATTGCATTTACAATCTATCAAAACGCGATAAATCGGTCGCGAAATTATCCGCAAGCGGGCAAAATCTTCGTACGCGGCACGGCATCGAACCGTGCAAAACGAATTTAATCACATTCGTTATTAGTGTACCGTAAATTATCCATATATGAAGAATATTTTGAAGGGGAAAAGTTAACAGAATTCTGTTATGAATCAAATTTTCGGAAAATTATATAGTTTTGCCTTGCGCACGTGAGTATTCATCCACCGGTATTTATTATAATTTATCAAAATGCAGGAACGCGATAATTACCAAAATGATATTTTTGATTATGTACCATCATGGCAATTTTCGTGGGAAAATATGGCGCAAAATTGTCATACATTAATATTTATTACCCCGTCGATTCTTCGGCTCGCGTATAATCATTAATATCCGCTTCTCTAATAGTGGAATACATAAATAAATATCTGTAAATACGTAAATACGACGACTCGGGGTTGCGATTACATCCGCGGTTTTGTTCACGTTTGCCTACACACTGCACGCAAACAAAATCTCTTTCGTGTTCTGCAATCTGCATCAACTCCGAGCATAAGCGGATCGATTTTAGCCACAGAAATTTTCTACACACCATAGTGTATCTGCTTTCATTCCGGGATTAACTTTTATTCTTCCTCTAGGCTAACGTCATTCGAGTTTTTATTCATTTCCGCTCGTTAAGTGCAGCATCGATGTGTAGAAAGGTCGACGTTATACACAAATCCGAATGGTGAATGATGGCAACTAACTAGAGCACTGTTTCCGTGTGCGCTGTGTGTGAATCGTGTCGTGTCATTTTCTCCGATGGTCGTTAGACCAAAAAATTCGAGGTATTTATTATAGGTAAATTGCCAGTTGAGTTACCCCGCGAGAGATATTAAATCGCGTGACGGCGTAACGTCGCGTTCCGAGCGAAAGCAATTAATTAATGTCGATTGATGTGAATACCCTTCGCGTGGACATTCACGGCTCAGCTACGATATAAACGCAGTCAGTGCCCGCTGGAAGCTGGGCTAGTGTCTAGCAACTTAGTTCCGAACCTTCTATCTGCGATCAATTACTCTTCGTAGAGTTAATTACTCTTTGTCTAGCTTCTAGCAATACGTTACTCTCCTTATTCTCGCGACGGATCGGAAAAGTGCTCTACCTTACGATACCTGCATAAATTTTAAAGCATCATTCCCTTTCTTTTTTACAGCGACAGATCTATCAAAAATCTTTTCTACAGTAGGATATAACGTAATAATGTAATAGAATTTAATTCTCTGAAATTTCTTACAAACCTTCCGTGAAATAATTTAATATAATCTTTAACATTATTAGCAACTGCTCTCGTTCAATTCCTTCAAAGTTGAACAAACGCAAAAGCGATATCACTTTCCTTCTTCCGATTCCTCATAAATATCTTTCTTTAATTAGCTGGAAAATTTTTCTAGTAACTTAATTATTTTTACAACTAACTTATTTCTTGAGTTTTTTTTTACTCCTAAAGTTTTTTCCCAAAACATAATAAGTTCGCGTTTCTCCATTCCCTCTTATCACGCTTCTGCCCTTCATCGAGAAGGACACGCGGATGCAAGATTGGGCTAATTGAGCGGGGACTCGATTTCGAGTGGGTCTCTCTATGTTTTCTCTAGGCGACGCACGTACCGCGGAAACCACCGAGGGCTGACTGGTCGTCCAGGATTGTGCCAAGAAAAAGGAATACGTAGACGCGTGTAGTTTTACTCTTAAGTCGATTAAGTTCCTTTTTACTTGACCCTCCACCTCAGGCGCTGGGACAGAAAATATTTCGAGAGGCGGGTTTAAAATCTCCCGGGTGCTTCGTGTAGAGACGTGACCGAATAGCGATCGAAGGTTTTATCCGGACCGAAAACAATGGCAGCAAATTGGAAGGCAGGCAATATCACGTGGACTTCCGAAGCACGTCCTTGCACGAGGAGCGAAGTCTGTCTTCTCTGCTTTAAATATTGATTCCGGAGATTGGCGAAATCAAACTAGAATTCTTTCTCCTTCCTCCATCCTCTCTCTCTCTCTCTCGGAAAACTAATTTTCATACATATTGCTACATAACGACAAGTGCTAGCTAAATGTTTAAAAAGAATACACGTCCAATAAGAAATATACACGCCTTAATACGAATATTTTACAATTGTATGTTTACAGCTATTTGTCGAATGTTCTGATGAAGTCATCACTCAACGAAGAACATGAAGACCGATTATTTATCGATAATCGTTAAGTTCTGTACATTGCTGATACTGTTTGGACCAGTCACGGATGTTCATTCACTCGATATACGTAAGTACACTTTGCAATAGTAATGATTAAATGTACAATTTAACGATTGCACAATCCATCGATTGCAAGTAAAATGCATGAAACTGTATAACAGTATTCTCAAATTTTAGCAATCTAAATGTCTTAAAAATTATGCATGCTGTTTTATAATATATATAATAGAAGCTCACTGACATTACACAACTCTATTTTGGAAGTAAAATTGTCAGTGTAAAATTCGAATTGTTTTCACTTCTATCTTGTAAAGCACATTTGCGTTTTAGGATGTAGCAAGCAAATTAATTGAAAATGATATTTTTCACTGTGAAACGTTAATAAAGCATTCTTCGAGCTAGAATAGAACCGCATAGTTCTTGCGGGCGAGGTGACAGGCAATAACAAAGAAAGTCCCGTGCAGTCAGCTGCGCGAGAAGTCAAACGATGTGTTTCCGAGCGAATTCCGGGCTGTTGCAGCTGCGGAAAGCCCATTTCTGCAGAGGTGCTATCCTTACCTTGCCCCATACCGCATCCGCGGCTTTCTCTCCATCTCCTTAGCCCGCTCCTCCTCGGCTGTCAAATTTTTCATCGGGAGCAGGTGATTTCCGAGTTTTTATTTTCCTCCGGCCTGCACCACGATGGGGGTGCTATCACTTTGAAGTAATGACTCGCTATTCTCCATCCGCCCGGGGGATCAATTATTTTGAATCTAATGCGACAGGATAAATTGCATCCCGCGGAAGTCTCCTTGCGCCGACCTCCTCTCCTCTTCGATTCCTCCATCCCTTCCACGCGGACTTCGTCGGCGAAGGGAGCGGAGCAATTTTGCGCTAAAAGGCGCGCCACCTTCGGAAAACAATTCCCTCATTACCCCGAACCAAGCAGGCCGCCTTGCAGCTCAACAAATTGGTCAGAAAGCAGCGTGTATCGATTGCTTTACGTTACCTTGTGTATACTGAATATTTAGAATATTCTCTAGAATTTCATGATAAGAAACTTGTTATATAAAACTTTATACAAAAATCTAAAGAATATTTCAAAATTCTAAAAACTAAATGTAATGCATAACACGAAACTGTTTATTATATTCTACTTTAACATAAATTTTATCATGTTTTAGAAAGCAACTAAACTAAACTTTCAAATTTTTTAGTTTTGATGAATAATATCAAGTGGATCAGTATGCTATGTCGTTAATATATTCATTCAGAGATTTTTCTATTTTATTCAATATATAAATGAATTCAATAAAATTTATATTCTTCGCTATAGAATGTCCAAATTACATAATTCATTTATAATGAAATTAATTTTTATTGTATGCATGAATGGGCATTGAAAGTCGTATATCGATTTGTCAACAAACCCATTGAAATACATCAATGCTACGATTTTTGACTTCAGAATCATAAATTCGATATTTTTACTTAAATATAAGAATGTTCAAAAAGCGCAAGAAATGAAGCAAATATCAAATGCGGTGAAGACATTGAAAAGAAGTTTAAATCGAAAAGCTTTCCAAAGTATATTCAACATCATCCGCGTCGAAAAACGCTCCGACGATTTTTATCAAAGGCGATCGTTGATTTGCGTTGAGATATTTGAGACACGGCATGTCTTTTTTGCGGTGTAAAACTCAGCGAAATTCTTTCTTCGTCAATCGATTATCGGCATATAAAGCACTATGGTTACCGAAAGAACGTTCAAGCCGCTTAAGAAGTTCCTGAGATTATTGATGTTTCCACGAAGACCGCAATAACGGTGCTCGTGTCTCTATTTCCGTTTTACTGTAATACGATCCGTGATGGTGTACGTGCTCAAAATATTATGCCTTTAGAACGGGACACGCGAGTTTATGTAAAAGCTCCACTTTCGCTTGAATGTTAAAGACTTTTCCCTCTTTTTCCTCTGTAAGTTTTTGACCGTTTCAATATATCTCCATAAGCCATCTACTGTCTTTCTTTTAACTGTTCTTTTAACCGTTTATTAATCGGATGGAGCGCCAGTCCTAGATGCCACGCTAAACACGAAATGCATAGAAAATGCATGTACACTTGCGTCATCGCGTTACATGTACGACTACGTCATATTTTACAAAAGGTCAGCGCCATTACTCTTACACCTTCCTCGCGGTAACGACTTCCTCGAGAGACGACTTAATGGACGAAAGGTCGTAGAAGCGGAGGAAACGACGAGGAACACCTAGCACGTAGAGCGCCGTTGACACAAATGCTCTGACCATGATTTAAGGGTGTTTTCCACTTAGATCTATTAAAATAGTTATCTAACTTTAAAGCGTATATATTCGACGAAAATGATGCGTCTATCAGTAAAAAAAGAAAACCCCCGCCCAACGGTGATTTGTCAGAATCTAAGCTCTAACATCATTCTGAAGCTTTCGCCGAGAGTTATTAACGGAAATAAGATAAAAAAAAAACCGGTAAAAAGCAGATTGTAAGCAGATATGAAAGAAGGGTGTACAGGACGGAAGATTGGAGGGCAAAGGGGAGGGTAAACGGGCGACCATTGTTGCGAGCTTTCGCCGGTGCTGGGTTCCGCTGGCGTTTTCCTCGTTATGGTAAATGGTCTTGTCTTCGTGGTTGGGCAAACAGTTACACAACGATAAGTGCTAGCGTCGGGTCGCTAGCTAGTAGTCGGCTGCCGTCGTCTCGAGACAGTTTCGAGGACCTTTGCTCTCTCTCTCTCTGGTTCTTCTGTCCTTTGAACGAAACGTTCGTAGTTTCGTGACTATCGCAGCTGAGATTCTCTGAAAGGTGTCCGGTGCGAGCACCGAATGACTGCTAAAGATGCACAAAGGTCCCCATTATCCCGCGAGCAAATCATTCCGTTCCGCGCCACTGGAAATGCACGAGTACAAGCGCGTTATTACTTCGGGGATGCGCCTGCATGGCATACCGACAGGGCAATAAGATGAACGAAGAGGATGTGTCAGAAGTAACAACTGAAACTTATATTGGAAGACTAACCTTTAGACTGCATGACTTCTAATGAAAGTTCGCAACGTGTTGGCGTATAGTGCTATGTGAGACATGTAGCCGAATGGGAGACTATGGGAAATATACCTAATGCATAACACCTCGGTAACTGACTAATAAAAAAAGTAGTCGTTCAACAGGCGAGAGACGACTCTTTGCGAGATTTTCAATTTGTGGTTATTAATATTTCTAATACTTATATGCATCTATCATAGAAATTTAATGATTTTGATAAATTTAGATGAAATACTTAATTAAGTATTCAATTAATTAATTTAAATTAGATATCGAAAGATTTATTCTAAATTAATGGTAGAATCTATAGATGAGAAATGAAATAGATCTGGGTCATAGTGTATATTTTACGCTATTACAAGCTCTGTCATTTTATCGAAGGAACTTATGATACTCGTGATACAAACTCATGATTTGAATATGCAAATCACAATGGGTTATTTTAGCAAAGATATGCAAGAGTGTAATAAAACTTTTTAATGAAACTCTTCACAGTTTTCTTTAATACATCAAAAAATTTTCCATGTAAATATGTGAACGGATCGTAAACTTGTAAAATAATCCCGTGAGAATATGCCCCGAGTCCTATAAAAGATAAAAAAAAGTGGCGACCAGAAATCGAAAAAGTGTCCCAAACTCTCTTGCTTATAATGATTTACAAATTTTCTTCTAAACCGTTATAGATCGTAGTTCTATCCGATTTAATATTCGACTGCAGTACCTCAAGCGTGATCGTTTAAACTTCATTCCAAAGCACTTCCGAAAAAACCCTTTATTATTCCAAACGCCTATTTTCATGCACGAGAATCCGTTCGAGAGTGATCTATACATTTTCTTCAACGGGGCTAGCTCTCATAAGTCGACCAGGAACGTTTAACAACGTTATAACTTGGGTAACTAGGGCAAATTTGCCGGCAAAGGAGATTTCTACACGTCGTTCTACTTTCTCGCCGATAACAAATTAGCCAAGTTCAATATTTGACTTGGTAATGATTTCGGCATCGCTCGCATTACTTACATGGCCTATCCATATAGACACATAGCGCTCAGTGACAATTTACCTAGCTGAAGAAAATCAATCACAATGAATATTACCGGTTCATAAACGAGACAATAAATTAGCTTTACCTCTTAAAATTTAAAATTGATAATTTCATGAAATACGTGCTTGTAATCCTAAAAATTGCAAATTTTTATTATAAAATTTTATCAAAAAATCTTATTGCAATTGCATTGAAAACGTAATAAGTTAATTGGATTGTTTTTTTAATAAACAATATCTTTATCGAAATACTAAAATATTCCGTATGTTTAATTAATACAAAATTACTTGTCAATGATTGAATGATTTCTTCAATATTATATAAGCCACTTTTATTATGTGCAAATGATTCAATGAATTAATATTAGCCGCTTATGACCATTATTGTCCTTTGTAAAATTTAATTGATTTCATTACCAGGGATTATTAACAGAGAAATCGTATTTGTGTAATATTCAACGAGAGCATTCATCTTTCATGCACGTGCGATTATGTTATAGAGGCTGATCAAAGGATGATTTAACTGTCAAATAATTAGAGATGATCCGATAATTGTAGAAAGATTGTAGATTAAGATGAGAGATAATGAAAGAGATGATATTACGATCCTCCCCCCCTCCCGCCCCTCTCGTCCCGCATGCATTCCCTCGACTTCGATTAAAATCCAATTTCTCTTCCCCGCCTACCACGTCATTGCCGATAGATCAAATTCGCTACACCTTGGCGGTGACTTTGATGCCCCGAGAAAAATTCCTATTCTCCTTCTCGCAGCGCCACCCTCCCTTTCTCACGTCGCCCCGTTTAGCCCGATATCGCATCCGACCTTTTTCCCATTTTCCACTAGACGATTCTTCCGCCTAGCCTTTCAATTTGAAATGCAGAAGAGTTCCAAGCATTTCGACTAAATCCGGAATCGTGTTGTCGTTGGTTAATTCTTGAGCGTGCTATTTTTCGGCGCGTAACATCGTCTG